GCCTCTCCCATCTTCTAAGCTTCTATCATTAGTACCATACTACCATTGCTGTCCCACCACTCCCCTTCTCACTCTTCCTCTCTCTACATGTACATCATGCTTCACTAGTCACTATTCCTAGCCTTGCTTATTCGTTTTGTTACTCGCTGTAATAAACATACCAGCAAATGAACAATGTTATCTTTTCGTTTGGATCGCCAATACGAACTTGGCCAGTTTATGGCCAACTGACAATCGCTAGTGTATAACGCCAAAAAGTCGCACGTCCCAGCGAAATCGCGATAAGCATGCGAGTCGGAAGCATTAGAACATAGTTCTAATTTCCCCACACTCGGAGCACGCAAGTTGGACGTTTTTTGCCAAGTGCCAGACCAACAGCAATCAGTGGGGTGTGTCCCTCCACCCTAGGGGGAGAGGCAGGGGAACGTTTTGTTTAGGCGGCACGGCTAGGCGACACTCGAAGTACATGCAAAATGGCGTATCCGCGGTCGGCCGCGCCGCACGCTACTGGGTCAAATGTTGAAACGTTTGCCGCCTCCGCCGGTCGGAATAACGTAAGAGCTTTGAACTAATATATATTAGGGCCTGTAAGATGCCACCAAATCGAATCGCGTAACGAGATTACTCTTCCCTCGGCATCCGATGCCTCGATATTTTTCCCCGATTTCGGTTTCCACTTTCCGGATATTACTTTTTGTCCTACCAATAGATGGCCGGACACTACGCTAGCATATACTGCCGAAAGTGTAGGCCAGCAGCATATAAATCACTGGTGAGATAAGGTGATTTATATGCGCTCTGGGTGAAACTCACCACAATGTTATCAGGCCACTGTGCAGTGTATATATGTATACTCTCTAGACTCCCTAGGCTATTCACCATCTTAGTATTCCATTGGCATTTTCTAATAATTTATATTTTGCAGTAATTATGAAAATATTTAAAATAAGATAACCATTGTACATATTTTCGGGATGCGATCGAAGGAATCGAATGAGAAGGCTAATATCGACAACCTGGATCGAATCAAGAGGCTGTGTATCGTTAGCAGCCCTAATATATATAGAGAGGTTGGTAGAAAGAAGAAAAACGCCAACTTGACTTCAATATAATCGTCAGTGTAACACCTAGCTTAAAGGCACGCTGCTGCACTGCACGGTGTATATATGTAGCGCTCGCTTTACATACGTACTTTGTGTACATTTCAATTTATCAGGCCACGGAGCGATTTTCTCATCGCGCGCAATCGCTCCCGTTTATTGTTCTTACCAGAGCATTTATAGAGCTTAACCAGAGCGAAATCGCTCTGCTCGCGCCCGTGTATTTTTTCCTCTGCTGTGTATGGAATACAAACTCCACTTACATGTAATACGCACACAGCTTTATTGTGTGTGCTACGAGCTTATAAGCTCTCATAATCTGCTTAAAATAAAATAAAAAAAAAAAAAAAAATTTACCGATCCCACAAGTTATAAAGGTGGTTCCTCTGTGGTGGAGATGGCCATAACGATTGACATCAGCTGCTTGCATATTCCGGCTCCTGTCAAAATTCACTAAATTTTAGGCAACGGTCATCCGCAATCGCCCAAAAGCGCAAATATATAATAAATATACAGCGCGGTTAAAACATTGATGTGAGAAATATGAACAAAAATCGGTAAAAACAAAATGAAGACATTTTGATGTTTAAGAGAATTCAGGATTAATAATTATTACGTCAGTGTGAAAATAGCCTGTCCCCACTGTCTCATGCATGACTGGCCTAACTTGCGAGCAGGACTGCATGGCTAATTGGACTTTACTACCAATTACATAGACAATATCAAGCGGATAATACTAGCAGTGTACAACGGGAAAAAACGGCGAAATAGTGCTATTTTCACGACTACATATTCTACTTTGCTGCGAGTCTATGAATAATTTCATGGTATTGCATTAAAGGCATGAATTCTTATGCTCTCTAAAACATCAGGACCAAACCGCTTTTCAATACGATACTCCTAGGCGAGAATAATCGGCTCGCTAACACTCCCCTCCCCACATGCACAAAACGCCAACCTCGAATCGCACTTCTGCCACCATCCTACACGGCTAAGGCGTTGCTTCGTGAATAGTTCGGTTTTTCTTCGCGCGAGTAAAAGGGATTTATGATATGGACGGCCTCGTCGGTTATTATAGGCTGACAGATTCGGCGGGCATCGCCTATCCCTATCATTCCATTATCTTTCGTAGCAGCGGCTAACGCCGCTCATGAATGGCACCGGCTCCGGCCTCATCAAGTTTTTTACAACGCAGAGCCTCAGTTACTAAGTGTAGTAACAGTACCAAATTTGGGCATATGGACATCCAATTAATCAGCCTCCAAGCTGGCTGACGGAAACGCATAAGCCAAAATGCTTACCCACGTGTAGATGCGTGGCAGAAGTGGATTCACGAAGTCGGGGGCGTTTGCAATGTGGGAGGGAGGTTTTAGGAGCCGATAATCTCCGCCCTTAGGAGTATCGGTATGGACAAAGGGTTGGTCTTGTTTTAGAGAGCAAAGAATTCTGCTTAATGCAATTTACCATAGAAAAATTATTCTAGACCTCAGGCAAACCTCGCTAGAATAATGTAGTCGCTGAAATAGCACTATTTTCCCGTTTTTCCCGTTGTACACTCTAGGTATTATCCGCTCTTGACAATATCAATATCTTTGCATTCCGACTAAGCTGCGGATTTCGATTAATTATTTCTCCAGATCATGCCTGTACGCTACTAAAATATATAGTTCAAAATTGAATAAGCACTATTGCCAACCGTTCAATAGAGGCAAAACAAAATCATACGTACTCTCTAAAGATATTTTTTGACAACATCAATGAACTGTTGGATAGGAAACCTCTTCATCCATCTCCACCCATCCCGGCTTGAGGGCTAAAGAAGTTGTATCTGCAGTAGATATAACACAAACGTTAAGAGTTACATACATATTGACCTACAAGTGGGTATAAGAAAGGTTAGCGTTTCAAGAATTAGAGAACATGGCGTCCAATAAACCATGTCATTTACATTCAATATAAATATTATATTTAATCAATATAATAGGTTAGGGTTATGCGTTAGGCGTATATGCGTTAGGGTTATGGTTAGCGCGTTTAGGGTTAGGATAGGGGTATAGGTTTAGGCGTTTGGGTTAGGCCCACATTGGTTTCATTGGGACCATGTTCTCTATCATTGGGCCGAAAGGTTTCTAATGGAATATGTCACCTATATCATCAACATGTTAAGTGTCACTTATATTATGTGAGCATATAAAGTACATTTTATAAGGGCTACATTAACTTACCCCTCTTTGAACCTATTCCAACGGACTTAGCATTAGCATTGCTACCACGTTGTAGACCTCAGTGTTGTTGTCCCCAATGCTCGATAGCAAGATGTATGCAGGATCAGGGAGAGTCGTTACTATTATCTTCCACTCAAATATTTCTGCTTTCCATTCTGCCTCCATCCCTCTCAACGCACGACACACGCTGCAGATTCCACACCTACGCAGTAAACGGCAGTCTTTAGTGAATTACAACAACAAAGCACAGAACGACTGACCTGAACTGTCAGACTGACAATTTTCATTGCTGGCCTCCATGGCTATGTACACGCTTGCCTAACGTCAGCCCTGTCAAAGTTCCAAGGCCAAAACTAGGATTGGCCGTAGGGCATTATGTTCTGACCTTTCGGAACATCGGCCTACAACGTTTCATGTTTAGTAAAAAACCCATGGCCTAAAACCTGTTAAAGGACAATTGCACACCAAGCCACGTGTGTGAGTTGACAAGGGTTGTACTCAGCTTGCCGAACTTCGGCCCTGCTGAACGGCAATTGTCAACAACATGCTACATGGCTAATGCCATGGCAGATGTACGTAGATTAATTAGATATCATTTGACACATCAAACTGGCATTACACAAACAAATGCAGTGAAATGGCGTGCATACAGGCCTGCTGCCGATGTTTACGTACCGGTACATTACCGTATTGCTGTGTAGCGGTATAGCAAATTGCAATAAACACGCCGTTTTATTTACAAACTAAGATATTTCGATTCGATGCATATTCCTAATTTAGAGGAAAATATTTACTTATGAACAGTATAACAGAAATAGCATAAATAATAGATTGGATAACAGCCTGCTTAACAACCGATACGAAATCGATCTAACGAAGCAACATTAGATATAGAATAGCAAACGTGGCTGCCATTTTCAATATAGAAGCACAAATCAATAGCCTGAAATTCATGATTGGATCGTGTTGCCACGCAGAGACCAATAACGGTAGCGTTTACAAATAGCATGGACCTAGCAGCACGAAAAATGTTGCACGAGCACCGCCGATTTCATAAACTTACGCGCTTTTTTTTTATAAAGTGTTTAGCACTATCATATACGGAAACGCCAAAACGTAAAATAACTAGAGCAACGGATACGAAAAATTGTTGTCATATGCACCTGGACAAAAAGCAAGTTGCGTATATTTTTGAGAAATTAATTTGCTATATATCCTAAGAAACAATTATTATAATTACGGCCTACACTGCTATCACATGCACATAGTATATTTTGCTTTCTCCAAGTGTATGTTTCTATCTCCTTTTACATTTCGCAGCCTACGAGCAACAGTTAGTATTATTAAATATAATAAGTTAGTATTTTGAAAGTTCTCTATAATGACTATGCATCAACCTAAGTTATTTGATAACTAATTCAGTGTCATAGGACTTCATTAGATTCATGTCCTCTTTCCTTATTCCTGGCATGTATCCAGTTGTTTTCCATTGCAGGGATACTAGGCTGGAAAGGGTCTATAGTCCCCCAGCCGGTACTGCCGGAACGTACCCTGGGTACGGTCCGTATACCGCGAACGTACCCATGCGTACTATACTATATGCCGCCCGACGTTTTTTTTTCCGTTTTGTTTTTTTTTTTTTTCTCTTTTTTTTTTCCGTTTTATTTGTTTGTCCGTATTTTTTGCCCGTCCCCCGTTCCCCGTTTTACCTCGCCTACTCCACTAACGAGTCTAGCGGAGTCGCCTACGCCTACTCGGCCTAACCCTAACCCTAATTCCTAACCCTAAGTTTCCTAACCCTAACCCTAACCCTACCCTAAACCATACAGGCGGCGTGTACAGGCGGGATCGGTACAGGCTGCTCCAGACCTGTACTTGCCTCAACTGATTAACGTGTTCTTGCTATTTTATCACTGTATCATACTGCACCTTTACTTTACTTTTATTTGCAAATTTATTTACAACTTTTCCTCATTTGCAATTACAGCGAATATCTATGCCCTCAATATTATGTCTACTGTACATAATAAAGGAATAGCTGACTCGATGGACCCTATGGTCTTTCGCTACCCCTTCATCCTTCAAAATATGTTTCTGCCATCATTGTATTTGCAAATTATGGTGATAAAAAATTTATTTGCAATCCTTAAAAAATTCCGATAGTAGCATGATGCGTAAACCTTACCTCAACTGTTGATCCCTCCATCCAGCAAGAAGAAATTATTTTCCCTCTATTGCACGCTTTTTTTTTTATCATGTAGGCCTATGTGTGGTAATTTCGATAGCATATATATACGATTTTCTGCTGATCTTTTCTATTGTTATCAACCTGTAGAGTGCATGTCTCGAGACGGTGTACACAAGAAGATACATGATGATCATTTGCATTCCCTCCCACTCCACCTCTCACCTCCATGATTATGATCACTTTATCAATCCTAGCATGCATGTGTTATAGTCGATAAATGACCAGTAACATCGTAACTCATGGAAGACGTAGAGAGACAAAGTTGATCGAATTGATAGTAACAGATAGTGCCAGTGTAGTGAATCCAGGGGCGTAAATCCCGGGGGGGATGGGGGATGCATCCCCCCGCTCTTGAAGGAGGGGGGATGGCCTGTACAAATATACCCCCCCCCTGAGATTCAAAAAGAAAAAGAGAAAAAAAAAGAATAGCCAAAAAAGTATGTTGCAACACATTACAAAAACACGGGGTGAAATGTCGCATTAAATTGCAATTTCTTTACCTGTGTTTAAATTACATGTATTATTACTATAGTAAACCTAACTGTGTACGCTCTCTGAAAAGTCATGAAAAAAGTGTTTTTGAATCCTAACTTGTTTAGGGTTGAGTATAGCCGGTTGAGATAGTGTCATCAGACATTGACAGAATCATGGCCACAGTAGTTGGCGTTATGACTCGCAGGAAAATGGTCCTAAATATTTCAAAATTTTATTGGGCGGGGCATGCCCCAGAGCCCCTTCTTAGCACTGGCGCATGCCTACGCGCACGCGCGACCTGCTAGCGGCAGCCAATGGTTAATCTTCGCCCGCCGGCTATCGCCGATCATCCCCCCCCACTACCTCGGTACGGATTTACGCCCTGAGTGATCACTCAGTTTTCATTGCCAAAATGTTACTATCGCCAGCTTACATAGGCTATGTATAGTATTTGCTACACATAGGGCCTATATACTCAGGAGTCAATCATGACATGGTTTGTCATTAACCCCCCTGACATGATATTCAATATCTTACCCCGATGTTTGCCACATGTACGTAGGTTGTGATCGAAGTGTGTTTCATATATATTGCCTTGACACTCGATGCCAGAGAGACATGATACGAAGATTGACGTGGCACAAGCTTTGCGCTTGTTGCATCCTAAGCGCTGCCGCGCGGATGAGATCGGCAAATGTCTCGCCGTGAAGAGGCAGACAGAGAGAGAAGAAAGGGGAGGCGGGGGCGGGAGCAGAGAGAAGAGAGAGAGAAAATAGTTTTGCTCTGCATTGAGTGCATTCCTAAATATTAAAAAAATTTATGATAACATGTCGCTGCCTCTAATGACTAAATGACTTTTACCTGATTTAGGAAGCCATGGATTCACTGACATATATTTTTTCAGAGGTGTCGGAGCCTCGGAGGCGGCATTGTGAATGCGAATGGATTCAAAGGATGTTTGGATCATGAGTTACAATTAGTGTGATTAGTGATATGTAGTAATGTAAATATAATTATAGGTACATCTATTAACAGAAAATTTGACACACTCATGGAATTAATAATACATACAATTTACATTGATATGTCCCCATCCCCACAAATAAAATAAGAGTACATTATATTACGTATTTTTCGAAAATTTGAAACTATGAAAATGGCTCTGGATACATAAAAAATGGCTCTGGAGCTTCAAAAAATGGCTCTGGTAAATTTTTGACAAGTCAGAAAAATCGCTCTGGTGAAAAAAAAAGATTTTTTTACCCTGATAAACAGGAGTTCTTTAATTGTTTATGAAATGAATTCATAATTCCTTTCAAAATTATACAAGATATATTCAATGAAATATAACATATTTTTAAAATACTTACTCCTTGTATGTAAATCTTGGATATCGCTATTTTTCGGTATGCATGGAATATATCAATGTGATTCTTTGCATTAGATGATCTACAGGTGTATTAAGTGTAAATATTGCTACTATTCATGAGTGGATTCAGTGAAAGGCGTTGGTTTGTGTTTACTCACGAGTGTGTGCGTGATGTGTTTTAGGGAGACGGGTAAACCGTTCCATAGATTGATCACGTGGAAGGACACGCGCTTCGATGCATACTGCCACACGTGGAACAACTGTGTCACTGTCAAGGTGAGGCTCACAGAGTAGCTCCACAGGCTATAGCAGCAGTCACACATCTGTACGCGATAGACATGTGGTTCTGAGGGCCTAATGTCAAGTGTGGGTTTGTGACGGGCAGGGTGTAAAAGTTTTTAGCGACCTGTAGAAGTAAATCAGTAGTAGCTGTTCTAGTCGAGAGATTGTGGGATGCTGGCATGAAAATGATCCTTAGTTTAGTGTGTGTGGGCGTGTCCGCGTGCGTGCGTGCGTGCGAGCGTGTGCGCGTGCGTGCGCGAGTGCGCATGCGTGCATGTAGCAGGGCTGTTATCAGGCCTGAGTGTGTGAACACTCCCCTATCACATTCCCAGGCTCTACGCGCCGGCTCTAGGTGCCTCTACTCCCTGACGAGAAACAAACGCTACCTCGCGACCACTGTCTTCCAGTTCAAGACAGAGACGTTGCCCATAAGACTCCGCTGGCTGTTGGATCACAACGCAGAGGTATGTGTTCGTCGTTGTCATCGTTGGAAATAACGTGAGTCCCAGATCGTACGTGGATGCACGCAGACTCCATGTGGGCGGGACACCCACGGGCACGCACGCGCACACACGCACGGGCACGCACGCGCACATACGCATGGGCACGCACGCGCACGCGCACGCACACGCACGGGCACGCACGCGCACACACGCACGGGCACGCACACACGCACACGCACGGGCACGCACACGCACACACGCACGCACGCGCACTGATTATTATTCCAGTGGTACCCAAACTTTTCTCTGGGCCGCACTTTCAGAATAAAAATTTCCGGCTCCACTGTTTGGGAACCACTGTATTAATATTATACGGATACAATTGAAATTTAAGAAGTGGAATTAGATGGTTACACTCCTGACCAATTAATTATCTACCTAAAATAACGTGTGAGTGCGTGCGTGCGTGCGTGCGTGCGTGCATGCGCGCGTGCGTGTGTGCGTGCATGCACGCGTGTGTGTGTGCGTGCGTGCATGTGCGCATGCGTGTGTGCGTGCATGCGCGCGTGTGTGTGTAGATATCTAAATTGACTCATTTGTACATTCTAGATGAACAGACGGTCATGCGAGGGGCAAGTCATGTTTGGAACTATCGAAACATGGTTGCTATGGAAACTGACAGGAGGAAAGAAACACCTTGTAGACTGGTCAAGTGCCAGCAGCACACTTCTGTTTGATCCGTATCTGGTATGACCTCAACATCAATACAGCATCATTTTTATCAGTGCAATATGCAAACACACTGTTCCAGTCGTGAACATCTAGCATTTAAGCAACATTCCCATGTCAGTATTCATTTATATACATACATCCATATATAGTATCGCTGAGAGGGTCTATGTCCCCCAGGGTACTGCCGGAACGTACCCTGGTACTATCTAATATGCCGGACCGTACCTCGCCTACTCCACTAACGAGTCTAGGGAGTCGCCTACGCCTACTCCCTAACCCTGGCTAACCCTAACCCTAACCACATCAGATAGTTACCAGGGTACGTTCCGGCAGTACCCTGGGGGACATAGATCCTATGAGCTATAGTATCTCTCTCTCTTTCTATATTTATATGTATATATATAATATATATGACCCCATATATATACAGGGGTAGAAATTAACTTTTGAACAAGGGAGTCCAACGGACTCCCTGCCCTCAAAAAGAGGGAGTCCGCAGCAAAATGAGGGCGTCCGTAGTCTGAAGTTCAAAATTAAAGATATTAACAATAACGCATGTGCTTATTTTAAAGATTCATGCGGTTGCACGTCTGCCAAATGGATATTTGGATATTTGCTGAAAAAATACGGTAATTCCGTCAGGCCATGCTCTAGAACGAACTAGTTAGTATAGCAGAATTTTCAGGGAGTCACACGACTCCTGCCTATGTCAAATCGGGGAGTCCGACAGTAAAGCAGGGAGTATTTGATTCCGGACTCCCGTTAATTTCGCACCCTGTGTATATGTGTATATATATATGACGCCTGCCGTCGTTCTGCTACAGCTTCAGTGGAGCTCCATCATCCTGCGACTCGTTGGTCTGCCGATGGACATGCTGCCACGCCTTGTCGACACTGCCGGGGACTTCGGCGAAACTCTGCCCGAGGTATTCGGTGCCCCAATCAAGGTCGCGGCGATGGTACGTGTGTGTGGCGCGTGTCAAGGTCGTGGCTGTGGTACGCGTGTGAAGCGTGTCAAGGTCACGGCTGTGGTACGAGCGCGTGACGCGTGTCAAGGTCACGGCTGTGGTAATTACTCACGTTAATCAACTCTAATGAAGCGTGTACCATCTTTGATTTTCCGGTAAGTTTGACTGTGGATGGTTACTTCTGTTACTGTGGACTGTAGTTGTTTTCATTCGCCCCCCCCTCCCCCAGCGCATGATCAGCTAAGAGTTTACATGTTGTGTTTCATGCTGCCTCCAGGAATTCACTTCCTCTCCGTAGTATGAGGAGCGAGTAAAACGTAACTATGAGGTTCTTTCGTCGTTATCGCTGTTGTTTACTTGGGTTTAGTGGTATATAGCATGTCGGCTGTGTGTGAGGTGATGTGAGGGGAGGCGAAACCATTCATGCAGTAGTGGAGTCATTACTGATGCAATTCCGAGGTGCTAGTGTATTCTTTTCCCTTTCCACCTCCCTCCTGTCCTCCTGCAGGCAGGTATTCTGTCTCCTCCTCACTCTTCACCTCCCTCCTGTCCTCCCTGACCAGGTAGTATTTGTCCCTCCTCACTCTCACCTCCCTCCTGTCCTCCTGCAGGCGATTAATTCTGTCCTTCTCACTCCTCACCTCCCTCCTGTCTCCTCAGGCAGTAATTCTGTCCCTCTTCACTCTCACCTCTCCTCCTTGTCCTCCCTGCAGGCCATATTCGGTCCCTCCTCACCTTTCACCTCCCTCCTGTGCTCCCTGCAGCAGTATTCTGTCCTCCTCACTCTCAGCCTCCCTCCGGCTGTCCTCCCTGCAGGCAGATTCTGTCCCTCCTCCACTCTCAGCCCCTCCCCTGTCCTTGCCTGACGGCAGTATTCTGTCCTCCTCAGCTCTCCACTCCCTCCTGTCCTCCCTGACGGCAGCTGATTCTGTCCCTCTCACTCTCACCTCCTCCCCTGTCATCCCTACAGGTAGTACTCTCCTGTCCTCTCCTCAATCTCAACCTCCCTCCCTGTCGCTCCCTGCATTGTAGTATCTCTGGTCCCTCTCACTCTTCCACCTCCTGTCCTGTCATCCCCTGCAGGGCAGTATCCTGTCCCTCCTCACTCTCACCTCCCTCCTGTTCCTCCTGCAGTAGTATTCTGTCCCTCCTCACTCTCACCTCCCTCATCCTCGGGCGGCACACTGCTCCTTCACCTGCAAGGCCAGTTATATCATGCTCACCCTCCTCCACTCTCACCTCCCTCCTGTCTCCATTAGGCAGTATTCTGTTCCCTCCGTCACTTCTCACCTCCCTCCTCCTGCATGGCAGATTATTCTGTCCCTCTCTCACTCTCACCTCCCTTCACTGTTCCTCCCTGCAGGTAGTATTCTGTCCTCCTCACTCTCACCCTTCGTCCTGTTCTCCTTGCAGCGCAGTATTCTGTCCCTCTCAACTCTCCCTCCCTCCGTGTCCTGCCCTGCAGCAGTATTCTGCCCTCCTACTTCTCACCTCCCTCTGTCCTCCCTGCAGGCAAGTATTCCTGTCCCTCCTCACTCTCACCTCCCTCCTGTCCTCCTGCACGGTTTATTCTGTTCACTCCTCACTCTCACCTCCTCTGTCCTCCCTGCAGGCGTATTCTGTCACCTCCTCACTCTCACCTTCCTCCTGTCCTCCTGCAGAGTATTCTTGTCCCTCCTTCACTTCTCACCTCCCTTCCTGTCCTCCTGCAGGCAAGTATTCTGTCCCTCCCACTCTCACCCCTCCCTTCCTGTCCTCCGCTGCAGGCAGTTATACTGTCCCTCTCACTACTCACGTCTCTGGTCCTACCTGCAGGCAGTATTGCTGTCCCTCCTCACTCTCACTTCCTCTGTCGTCCTCCCTGCAGACGTATTCTGTCCCTCCTCACTTCTCACTCCTCCTGTCCTCCTGCAGGCAGTATTCTGTCCGCCTCCTCACTCTCAACCTCCCTCTCCCTGGCTCGGCAGCTATTCTGTCCTCCTTCACTCTCACCTCCCTCCTGTCTCCCTGCGGTAGTATTCTGTCCCTCCTCACTCTCACTCCTCCCTGTCCCTCCTGCAGGCAGTATCTGCCCCTTCTTCACTCTCACCTCCCTCCTGTCCTTTCCTGCGGCAGTTTCATGTCCCTCCTCACTCTCACCTCTCTCCTGTCCTCCTGCAGGCCAGTATTCTGTCCCGTCTCACTCTCACCTCCCTCCCTGTCCTCCCTGCAGGCGGTTTCTGTCCCTCCTCACCCCACCTCCCTCCTGATTCCTTCCTCTCTCTGTCCTCAGGTGTTTGTTGTTCTTTCATCCACGTGGTTGGGTCGCGTTTTTGCGCCTTGCCTCCCTTTCCAAAATGACTGTTTGGGAAGTCGATGTGCCGTTATCTTACTGCCAATAGGTGCTGATTTAACGTATAAGTGGTGCCTGCGTATGCTGAGCTGTTCAATGCTTGAGGATTGGTTAGATGCGCAGGATTCAAGCGTCACTACTGGGAGTTTTCTGTTGTTGTTCTTTCGCTGTGACTTCAATAGCACGATGGCCAGTCTCAGCGATCAAACATAAAATTGCTGTTGCAATGCATTATGGCATTATGTGCCCACTGATCAAAACATGAAATGAAGCTAACTGGGAGTGCGCACGATTGGTGATTTAGGCGCATTTTTATATGCCGTATGCCGTTCCAGGCCTTGATTGCTACCGGCCTGGCCCAGAGAAACAAACACAGCCAGCAGTTCCATCCGCCACTCCTGCTCTAGGGTGCCATTATGCCACTCCTGACGGCGGGGGGACGGATCTGCTCAGCCTTTCCAGCGGCGGACACAGTTATCCCCTGATTCGGTTACTGGTGGCCACTGTATTGCTCTCTTGCTGGGCTGGAGCGTTGGCCCGCAACCCTGGACCTGTGGGCGATCTTAACCCGGGACCTCCACCCATCTACACCACCTTCATCACCTCTTTGAATGGACCAAAGAAAGGGCAAATCACCATGCGTCACATGAACGTCCAGTCTTTATGGGAACAATGTCATGAATGCTTCGAGCTGCCAGTTTCTCCGACCATTCCCCGTGCATACCTCCCCCTGCGTCGGGGTGTGATGAGCACCACCTACACCACACGATTTTAGATTTCATGCAGATTGACTTTCCAGAGTTACGTTCTTACCGTGAGACCGGAATCATTTGGCTGAGAAGAAGGTGGAGTCTTCTCTACATCCTGGACAGGGGCATTACCTGCCTTCGACGTAACAATCTTGACAATAGCCCTAGTCGAATCAATCTGGATGAGATCCGGGCCCCTCACGTAAGCCCTTTCCTGTCTGTGTGCTGGGATACGACCCTCCACCGTCCCCCTTGTAGGCTGGCATTGGCGATTCTTGCGCGCAGGTTGAAAGGCTTTTCTGGATCAGAAGGAAACATCCTTGATGCGGTGACTTCAATTTTGATTTCCTGAGTCGTGACCGTGAGAGCGCCCCCATTCCGTGGCAGTCTATGACAGCGTCTTGGTCTCCACCAACTCCATCACCTGGCCGGACACTCGCGTGACTGATGTGAGTTCACGTGGTCTTGACAGGTCCTCGTCAGCTCATCCTGAGTTATACTCTGCAACTCGCCTTCAATCAGGCCTGAGTGACCATGAACGCCGGTGTCATGGTTAATCGTTGCTTTGGCCGTTGCTGAAACAACCATCCACCCACATAAAAATTCAATACCGTAGAGGTCAAGAACCATGGCTGCACTCGGATGCATTCATACGCCGACTGGCTCCTGCGCCCTGGACCTCGCTGTTGCTCCATGGCTTCAACGACGCACCCTGAAGCCATGCTCTTCGGACTTCGGTGTTTGCTTCTACCATCCCGTTTATCGCACGAACATCGCCCCTGCTGGTGCGAAACGAGGTAAAGAAGCATCTGCAAGAGCCCTGGATGTCTGAGGACATCTGCAGACAATCCAGCCCAGCGCATGAGGACAAGAAGAAGGAGGTGGGATTACCGCCTCGCCGAATCAGAACCAAGTTTAATCGGATTGATCCAGGCCTCGCGAACGAAAGGATCGACTACCGAAAGCTGCATTTGAGGGCCGCCACCGTACTACAGCTGAGCATTTGAGGTGATCTTCCAAGATCCTAGGGTCCATCGTAAACCACCGCCGTCAGCTTTCTTCACCACCAGTCTCCGCCGATCGTCAAAGGAGGACAGCTTACACCTGAACCTGTTCTTGAGTCAGTGAGCGGACGCCTACAGGAGAGAAGACCTCAATACTGAGCAACCTAACCTTTGTCAGCATGAGCGACTTTGTCAAGCAAAAAGTCGCGTGCTTCCACTTATTTTAGTATTCGGCATAACCTACTTTATTTTGCTAATTTCAGTATCTCACCGACCTGACACCTGTAAGGCCGTTGGATTAGATGGAAATAGATGGCGTTTTCTTCAAACTCGGTTCACATGTCTTAATGCTTCCCTCATTGGCAAAAGTGTTAAATATCGTGTATTTCGGCCCCCAAAAATATTTCCCGTCCGATTTGGAAAGTCGCTACAGTATATGCCTTATTCAAAGACTTGGGTTCGACTTCTGGACATGAAGCATCTCTCTAGGTATATCTGTCTTACCTATCCCTGAGCAAGCTCCTTGAAATAGACGATGTGCCATAGATTTGTATAACTCAATTTTTACAAACAGCACAATTCTCTTATCCCAAGTATCCATCTGCGCTTTAGGAAAGGCTTATCTCCTGTTTAGTACTGCTCTCATCAGACCCTCACTGACATTTTTACCAAATGCCATCGCATTCAGCCCCTGAACATATTTTATCTGGCACGCTTCTCATACTTGATTTTCCGTAAAGCACGTCGTCGATCTCCCGTTTGATCACTCTCTTCTTCACTCTAAAAAGCTGAAAATTTATAGATGTGCATGACATGCCCTGCGCATGCAAATTTTCGCAGAGTTTTTCTACCTTCTAACAGATACTCCAAAGCATTTTTTATATGGGAGTCATTATCAGCTGAAGT